CAGGGCCGTCTGACACTTATCAGCTGCCTTCGGAGTTGGAGATCAGTGGGGCAGAAGAACAGCTGGAGCCTGTTCCTGATGTGCACATGCACACAGTTGTCAGGAGAAGGGAACAGTTAAGGAACAAGGATTGACTCAAGAGTAAAGGCACAAGTGAACAGTAAATGGCCCAGAGGTGATATTCAGCAGGTTCTGACCAGTTCTGGAGAACTGGTAGTAGAAATTTTGAGTAGTTCGGAGAACCAGCAAATACCACCTCTGACTGGAGATTTTACAGTATCCTTCCCCTGCCACGCCCACCAAGCCATACCCACAGAACCGGTAGTAAAAAAAATATATTCCCATAGGGAATAAAGAGGAGCGAAAGGGGAGTGGTGTTTGCAGGAGACAATTAGTTCGTTTAATTAGTGTGAAGATTTGTTTATCTGCGTTCATGACTCTCAGAGACTCCATGCCAAGTATTTGTGCTTGGAAGCTATCGGCCTGGCAGCTCTCCCAGCCTGATAAGGTCTGTGGTTGTAATTCACCCTTGAAAGACTGTTTGCCGGGACTTTGCTGGATGTGAATGAGAGGACTTCACTTTAGCCTAATAAAAAGGGGTTTTGTCAGGACAAGGAGTTTGTTCCGTGATTTTGTGAGGCCTAGGTCAAAACACTCTTGTTGCCATACAATTGTCTTTACTTGCTGTGTTTTGATCTGTCAGCACTCCAGCTGAATGATGTAGCCTAATATTGAGGGATCTCTCAGGGCTTGGGACAAGAACTTCTGAGCCGCTTCTCGGACCCTGTCTTTTAATTAACCGTAGGTATAGAAATGTCAGTACTTTGAATTGGCGTTGTTGTGGTAAGGCTTCTACTTTTGCCGGCTTTCCTGGTTTATAGAAACAAAATGGGAGCCTTGGGAGAAATGGCTTGTATTACCTACAAGGATGCAGAATTGCAGTATTTTTTTTTCCTCAAAGTTCACATCAAATTATTTACGGAGGTCCCAATAAATTTACGTCACTTTCAGAGTAAGAACTCATAAATAATTCTTCACAGGTCTGATCTTTGTGGTGGGAACAGATCAGGGAAAGGAATTAAACATTTTGAATAGGGGGATGTTTAAAAAGTTCCCTTAGAGTGATGTTGAAGCATACGTCCTGTGGATCATAAAATAAGATGAAAAACTGTTTTCTCTCTCAGCCGAAGGGTTACAAAATTTTGCAAAATATAGACAAGATAGAAGAAGCTAATAGATTTGATTTCTCCCATATGAAATCCTTCCTAAAGTCTATACACTTTGTATCTAGTATGTATCTCTCAGTAAAATAAAGCTCTCAAGAGGATTTGGAAAGTTAATTTACAATACAACCCCCCGTGTATTTCCAGAAATAATAATATCCCCAGTCTTCTTACTTCCTATTTTAAAATAATCCATTACATTTGATTATGGAAGAATTAACTGGTGATTGTTTTAAGTTCTGGTCTGTATGTACTATGAGGAATGACAACTGAGGTGTGAGAGATTAATTGAAGACTGTAGGAGAAATAATTAGGAGCTGAATATTAAAGGGTTGTAGAGAAAGCTGGTTGATCGAGATAGGACAGGTAGGTAGGTAGGTAGGTAGGACAGACAGATGTTACGTAATGATACATAATGATAGACAGATAGATGGTTTAGAGAGCGGGGAGGGAGGGTGGGAGATGGATGACAGACAGATGATATGTAATGATACATAACGATAGACAAGTAGATGATTGATAGAGACAGGGAAAGAGTGGGATGGATGGACGGATGGACAGACAGAGACATGATAGATAGATAGATAGATAGATAGATAGATAGATAGATAGATAGATAGATAGATATGATAGATGATAGAGAGATGATAGATAAGAGAGAGAGAGAGAGAGATGATAGAGATAGAGTGATAGAGAGATATAGATGATAGATAGATAGATAGATAGATAGATAGATAGATAGATAGATAATAGATGATGGATGGATGATAGGTAGACAAATGATACATAATTATAAACAGAGATAATAGCGGATGAGAGATGATATATAGATATAGATGTACTGTTACTAAATAGCTGGTCAAACAAGCAAACGAAGACAATCACATTTTGGTAACCCCTATAGTGGCTTGTCATATGAAAGCCTTTCCAGATAACAGATTACAAGTTTTCTTCTACTTTTCAAAAAGTACTTTCAAAAAACTGAATCGTTTAAAGTTCAACTCCACGTTGGCTAATTGAGCCACAGACTATACTCTGAGAATGAGGTAATTCTTCCTGTTTCATTCTTAGGTCATTGTACTTTCCCTTATGGTGATCCTCTGAGTAATTCTACTGAAATATGTCTGTTAGCCATAAAATGACCTTATTAGGTTCCTTTCTCCATATTATTATTTGCAGCTCCTTCCCCTCCCCAGTGTGGATCAAGAGGCATGCAAAAATCAGATTTGTTTCCCTTTCTCCAGAAGGAGTTTATTTTCATGCCTTCTTCTCTCTTTATCCCTTCACAATCCTGTCCTATGAACAGGGTGTCCTCGCCTTACAACCACAGTTGAGCACAAAATTGCTGTTGCTAAGCAAGACAGCTGTGAAGAGACAGCTTGCCCGTTTTGCAACCTTTTGTACCATGGTTGCTAAATGAATCACTGCAGTTGTTCCACGAGGAACGTGGTTGTTAAATGAATCGGGCTTCCTTACTGACTTTGCTTGGACGTGACCCCGGGAACACTGCAACAGTCATAAATTGGAACCCGTGGTCAAGCATCCAGATTTGGATCCCATGATGATGGGGATGCTGCAACGGTCGTAAGTGTGAAAAATGGTCGTAAGTGTGAAAAATGGTCATAAGTCATTTTTTTCAGGGCCATTGTTAACTACAAACTCATTTTCACTAAACAAACCATTTGTCGTGCCCCCATCGGAGTCTGAATCTGAGGGGGAAGAAGATGAACAGCCATCAGGGAGCAGGAGAGTGGCTCCATTGGCTGTAGAGGAAACTGGGGAAGGGCAAAGTCAGGCTGGGCAGAGCAGGGGAGAGTTAGAACGAGGGAGAGGGGGTTCAGAGGAAGACCCAGGTCCACGCCCTTCTTCATCCTAGGGCACGCAGGGAAGAACAGAGAAGAAAGCAATGTGGGTTGCATGGCTTATGGGGGAGGAAAGGGCCCTGATTCCCTTCACATGGCACACCTGGGGAGGGAGTTTAAAGGAAAGACAGATGGGAGGGGTGGTTGTCAGGAACAAACACTGAGTTCACCTAGTGTTGGCTGCTGTTATCTGAGTTCCTGGCATCCTCCCAACTGGTTTGATTTATTGCTGTGTTCACTTCTGGAACTCCTTATCTTGTTCTGACAGATTATTTTGCCTTGTCAGATTTATGTTTTGAAGTTTTCTATTTACAAGGTTTGGACTGAAGTATCTGCAGCCAAAGGCTGTTGCAGGTTCGTGGGTGAGTTTTTCTCCAGACCAGAGAGTAACCGGGATGTTGGGGGCAAAGTTGGAGCTAATAAAGTAACTTATATTTATTCTCTGGCTGTGTTGCCTTTGTGCCATGCCCTGGGTCATCACACCATTGTAAATTGAGAACTACTTGTATTATCAGAAAAGAAACAAATGTCAACCCTAAATGGACAAATGCTACACGGCCATTTTTCCTTCTTTGAATGCATGAAACACTTGGCATGAAAAGTACAGGCGGTCCTCGACTTACAACGGTTCATTTAATGAGCGTTCAAAGTTACAACAGCACTGAAAAAAGTGACTCATTTTTCACACTTACGACCATTGCAGCCTTCCCATTGGACATGGGATCCAAATTCACACACTTGGCAAGTGACTCGTATTTTTGACGGTTTGCAATGTCCCAGGGGTCACATGATGTCCTTTTACAACCTTCTGACAAGCAGAGTCAATGGGGAAGCCCGATTCACTTAAGAACCGTGTGGCTAACTTAAGAACTGAAGTGATTCGCTTAACAACTGAGGCAAGAAAGAGGGAAATTCACAGAACAACTGTCTTCCTTTAGCAGCAGAAGCTTTGGGCTCAATTGTGGTCATAAGTCCAGGAGTTCGGTTTGCTGTTCCAGGAGGACAAATCAAAGTCAAGAATTGCAATCCTTTTTTTTCGAAAAAAAAAATATTTTATATTTTACAATAATTCCATTTTATTTCAACCATGTGTCGACTGAGTACATATATCTTGTGCTTACAATTATATTTAATACTTTTCTTATTAATGTAACAATAATCACATTTTCTTATAACTATTATTTAATATATATTTTTTAACAATCTTACTACTTTATATATTCATCTAGACCAGTGATGGCAAGCCTTTTTGTTGTGATGTGCTGAAAGCGCACGTGTGCACGATAGCGCACGGGCCAGCAACCACGATGCAATGCACCCCGCCGCCCCTGCGCATGCATGTGCAAACCCCCCCACCCCCTTACCTGCAATGTGCATGCGCGCGCCTCCTAGCTGATTTTTGGCCCATTTGAGGCCTTTTTCGCCCTCTTGGGGGCTTGAGGGAAGCCTCTGCAGCCTTTGGAAGCCAAAAAATGGGCCCGTTTTGGCACTTCCAATTTCAGCACTTCTGGTTTCAACACTTCCGGTATTTCTGGAAATACTGGAAGTGCCGAAACGGGCCCATTTTTCGGCCTCCCAAGGCTGCAGAGGCTTCCCTCGAGCCTCCGGGAGGGCGATAAAGGCCCCAAACGGGCCGAAAATCAGCTATGAGGCACACGCATGCGCAGTGCAGGTAAGTTTGGCTGGGGCTAGTGTGCCCACGCAAATTGGTCTGCATGCCGCCTGTGGCACACATGCCATAGGTTCGCCCTCATGGACTATTTTAATTTGTTTTATTTCCCAAGAATTGCAATTCTGACACTCTTCCCTCTCGCTTTCTGCTGTGTTTTTTTGTTTTTGTTTTCCTCCTCTCTGAAAACAAGCATATATTTTATCTTTATTTTATATTCTGTATCTATATATATATATTTTGCAGGTGCCTGAGATTATCAGCACCATCAGACAAGCAGGGAAGATCTCTCGTCAGGAAGACTTTCAGAGCCAACCTGAAGATCCTTTCAGCAAGAAGTTTGAGGTGCTGTTTTGCGGCCGGGTGACGGTCGCACACAAAAACGCCCCTCCGGCCTTCATCGATGAATGCATCGAGAAATTCAACGATGTGAGTGATACCAAAAACCTGGACCTGCCCCGTCAAAATGACAGCGCCGATCACTCCAGTGGCTTTTCCCTAAGTGACAAATTCCGCTCCGTCTTCCAATCTTCGGCGAGCGAAGAAGAGACCGCGAAGCCCTTGAGGAAGTCTTACTCTCAGCCCGGCCTCCCTTCTTTTGCGTTGAAAAGGGATGTGCAGAGCTGGAGCCTGAAGAGCCACAGCCTGGCCCGATCCTTGGATGAAGATGATGTCGTTTCTCTCAACTTAAAAAGTCAGTTTATCCAGGGACAGAATGTACAGCCGACAGATATTGCTGGGAACCGGATTATGTTGTTCACGGTAAAAAAAAAAACCCCTAATTTTGTTTGCTTAGCCTTCTTCTTGCTTAGTTATTGTATTGCTAGTCACTGAAATGCTGCAGATAATTGAGAAGGGAGTAATTCTGGAGGCGGTTTAGAATCAAAAAGGCCCACATCTTGCCATCCTCCTTGCAGTCGAATTCAACCCATCATCGGTTGGGACGGTGGCCTGTAACTTGTAGTCTGGGCTAGCTGCCTAATCTTGGAGATTTCAGGAGGAGTTTTCCAGTCTTTTTTTAGAGTGAATTAATGAAGGCAGAGTCCATGTGTGTCATTTCAAGTAATTTCTCAGGAAGTTTTTCCCAGGCTAAGTTGAGTAGCTGTTTCTCAAATAAATTAACTGCTAATTCGCCTGCTGCCCTCTGTGCCATTCCTTTCCCGGATTCTCACAATCTTTCTGCGCTTTTCACGCAAGCAAATAAACCCAGATAGTCTTCCATTGTCTGGTTTCCTTTCCATTTTTGTCTGCACTGACAATTTTCTTTGTTCTTTGCAAATTCATGAAATCGTGGAAAGGAGGGGAAGGGAAGGGAAGGAGAGGTAATGGAAGGGAAGGGAAAGAAATGAAAGGGGAAGGGAAGGGAAGGAAAAGTAATGGAAGGGAAGGGAAGGAAATAAAAGGGAAGGGAAGGAAACAAAAGGGAAGGAAAGGAAAGGTAACAGAAGGAAAGGAGGTAATCAACTAGGTAACATCAGCAGTGCTATACCTGACCAGTTGGGATAATGAAACATCTGCAAGAAAACAGAGAGCACCACCTCAATAAAAATGAAGCAATGAAAAGAGTGTGAAAAACTAATAAAAGAAACAATGAAAAGAAACATAACAAGAATATCAGTATGATTACCAAGAAAGTAAGGTCAATGGGTAGAGCAGAGAACAAGGAGGCGGAGGCATATATACCATCTATATAGTTGGTGTAGATGAAATATACAGTATATAGATAGAACTAGTTATGTTTAGCCAAAGAAGGAGAAGGCTTAGTATGGTAGTGTCTTCCAATCCTTGAAGGACAGGGAAGAGGGCATCAATTTACTTCTCATAGCAGCCTAGGAAAGGATGAGAAGTAACAGGTGGAAGCTCCTCAGAAGAAGAGATCCAATCTGGAGCGAAGGAGGAATTTTCTGGCAGTGAGAACAATTAATCAATGGAAATCAAGGAAAGATTGGACAACCATTTTGTTGTGGTCCACCAGCAGCCAGCAGAGCTGGCAGCAGATTCAGACAGTGAGGAGGTTGGGGAGGATCATGGGCCAGTCCTGGAGTCTGGGGAAGGCTCAGACAAGTGCTCTGCATTGGAGGCAGAGATGGGGCCAAGGCCGTCTGACAGTTAACAGCTGCCTTTGGAGTTGGAGATCAGTGGGGCAGAAGAACAGCCGGAGCTGATCCCAGTGTGCGCATGTGCAGAGCTGGCGGAAGAAGGGAACAGCTAAGGAACAGGTGGATGGTGAATGGCCCCTCCCATAGGGAATAAAGAGGAGCGAAAGGGGAGTGGTGTTGACAGGAGACAATTAGTTCAATTCACGAGGGTGAAGATCTGTTCCTACTTCTTGCCAAGTATTGTCTGCTACAGAGTGGCGTTTGAAAGATATCGGCCTGGCAGCTCTCCAAGCCTGATAAAGGTCTGTGGTTATGAAATCTCTTGAAAGACTGTGGGCCAGGACTTTGCTGGAGAGGAATTCCCTTTAACCTAAATAAAAGGGAGTTTTATCAGGACGAGGAGTCAGCTTCGTACTTTTGGGAAGCCTGGGTCAGAACACGTTTGTCCCGGATGGCATAAAGACCCTTACCTCGAGCAGGAGGTTGGAGTAGAAGACCTCCAAGCATTCTATCATTCTACGATTCCACCTGGGGGAGGATTCACATTGGCTCAACTTAGCAACGTTTCTCCTTTCGTGTTTTTCCCACACGAAGCTACTGTTTTCTTCTCTGGGATGTAAAAAGAGATTCAGTGCATGCTTACTGGGGGATCGATCCTAGTAGATTCCAGGGAAATTTCATTACCTAGAAGGAGGGTCTTCTCTAGAAGATTAAATGGAGGTCATGCTGACCTTAAGTATGAAGCTTTGTAACTACCATGGCTTCCTGGAATGGATGTATCATTTTTTTTTTCAGTTTAAGGAAATGGGTTATGGTGTAACAAAGAGAAAACACTTCTGACCTTACACTTCCTTCTTTATTGGGCAACTGGCAACTGTCCCTACTTATGAGGAATCAACCATGTTGGGTCAAATAAGGAGGCCTTGATTTTAGAAGAATAGAATAGAATGACAGAGTTGGAAGGGACCTTTGAAGTCTTCTAGTCCAATCCCTCCTCAGGCAGGAAAAACCTCCACCATTTCAGACAAATGGTTGTCCAATCTCTTCTTAACAACTTCCAAGGTTGGAGCACCCACAACTTCTAGAGGCAAGTTGCTCCACTGGTTAATTCTTCTCATTGTCAAGAAATTTCTTAATTCTAGGTTGCTTCTCTCCTTGCTTAGTTTCCACTCGTTGCTTCTTGTCCTGCCTTCAGGTGCTTTGGAGAACAGCTTGACTCCCTCTTCTTTGGGGAAGCCCCTGAGATATTGGAAGACTGCTATCATGTCACACCTGGTCCTTCTTTTCATTAAACCAGACATACCCAATTCCAGCAATGGTTATGCTTGATGATGGTTCTCCTGCACAAACTCCTAAGTTGTTTTCTGTTGCTTTGTACCAATCTAATCACCTCTTCTAAGAGTCAGTGATGAAATATGTCAGATAACTAGGATGGGAGAGGATCTTGAGTTAGAATCCTATCAAATAGAGCATCCCTCCCCAAAAGGTCCATGTAATCTTGCAATTCACCCAGATCTTTTCATTCCATTATACCATCCTGGCTGCCAAAGCCGTGTTTTAAATGTGGGGACTGTTGTCAGTGTTGATGCTTTTGAGGTTACAGATTTATATGGTATGCTTTATATGGTATGGTATTCAATTGTTCTAGTTTGTGATAGAATCCATTCGGGAAATGTTATTTTTTTTATTTTTATTTCCAGCTCAGGGTTGAACTGAGGCGGTCCTTGGTGCTCTCTGATCTTGGTGGTTTTCTTGGTGGCGCTGATGATGTTACCTAGCTTGGTAATGAAACGTCTGCAAGAAGATAACCAAGCTCAGAGAACACCCTGATTCTACAATACCCTGTTTCCCCAAAAATACAACCTACCCTGAAAGTAAGTCCTAGCTTGATTTTGACACGTGTGCCCAATATAAGCCCTACCCCCAAAATAAGCCCTAATTAAGATCCCACCCACTCCAGAGTGGACGGGTAAAAATTAAGCTAGGGTGGGGATAGTGGGGTGGAGCTGCCCTACTACTTACCTTTGGACAGTTGTAGCCAGGCCTCGCACACCCCGACACCTGCCTCGCTGGCCCATTTCTTCTGCAGCCGGCAAGGCTTTCCTGAAGGCCTCTGGAGCTGATAACAAAGCTCTGGATTGATCCGGCCGCAGAAGAAGTTGTTCCAGAAGGCTTCTGATAGCAAAAAGGAGGCCTGGGGTGACGATGCAAGTGAGGTTAGTCAGTGGATGGCTCCCCTGAAAATAAGACCTGGTGACGTTTTTGGTGGAAAAAAATTATAAGGCAGGGTCTTATTTTTGGGAAAACACAGTAGAGCATTAAATTACTTACTAGTTCCATCACATACAAGCTCTTTGCTCTAGAGAGCAGTTCCCACTTAATGGGCCCTTCAGAGCTTTGTCACAACTCAGCCCAGTGTGCAATTGCCTGCAAGCTTTAACACATGTAACCCCGATGCAGAGTTTCCAAATAAAATGAAGCGGCAGAGAGTAAAACTAGCCCATTAAAAAATGCTTCACAGATTATGAGGTAATGTCTCCGAGCCTGCTTGCTTCAGACTACTGACATCTACAGTTGCCTAGCAACACGTGGCTCAAAAAGTTGCTGTCCAAAATCGCAGCCTGGAATATGGATACCTGTACAATTGTGTTATTTCCAACAGGTGTCTGTTTTTTCCATTCACTTTATATGCCCTTAAAGCAGTTTGCATAATAGCTAAAACCTCCCTGGTAACGTTGAGTTTTTGCACCAAAGCGTTAATTTATATTAACCGGATGTCTAGTCTGCTAATCCTTCAAACTATTTAAGATTAAGTTTGCTTCAGGAAACCATGTCAAGATGGGGGGGAAATTTAGAGGCTGAGCTTAAGGGAAATAACTCCACTGCAGTTTTGCAAAGTCACAATGCCAACGGTCTTCTTTGCGTACTTATACACGCCAATGCAGAGAGGACAAAATTGGCAAGCCTCATTTTTTTTTTATCCTTCCCAAACATGATCAGGCGGCATTTGTTTCATCGGCTTCATCAATGTTTTGACATTGGAAAATTCGATTTTTTTTTTCAATACTGCATTAAAGAGTGTATAAAAATCTTCCTTCCTTGCATCCATATTAATGCAGAATGCTTCAGGCGTACCGACTTAAAAATGCTGAGCACAATAATGGGAATAATACTGTGGCTGCATTATTGATATTGTTTTTTTATTGTTTTCAGATTGGGCAGTCTGAAGTTTACATCATAAGTCCCGAAACCAAAAAAGTAGTTATTGAGAAAAGCTTTAAAGAAATATCCTTTTGCTCCCAGGTATCCACATTTGAATTCCTTTTTTTTTTCTTTTTCTTGTTCTCTTGTCTGATTGATTTTCATGCATTGTTATTATCATCATCATGGTCATTGTGATTGGATTTTTGTTTCGTGTTTAATTAATGGCCATGTCAGGATTCTGACACTTAACCCCGTGTGATGACCCAGGGTGGGATACAAAAGCAACAAAGTCACAAAAACAGGTGAAGTCCCTTTAATTCCTTCAACTGGAGAAACTTCCGTTCAAACTCAAAATACATATAAATGTAAATAGAAAAAAACAACCCAAACCACACTGAAGAATTAATGAGACAAGGCAGGATAAGGGCTTGCAGACGTCTGCAGATATCGAAATACACATACTGGGAAGGATGCCAGAACTCAGATAAGAACTGACAGATCAGAAATATTTTCACGCTTTGCTTCCAGCACTGACCCATGTGCAGTTTGTCCTTTTAAACAGTCCTCACAGCTGCAGCCCACGAAGGGGATTAAGGCCCTTTCCTCCCCCATAGACCACGCCATTCACGCTTCTTCCTTATATGCTCCTCTCTGTGTACCTGAAGATAAAGAGGGGACGGGCCTGGGTCTTCCTCTGAATGCCCAGCTGGCCTGTGCCCTTCCCCAGTTTCCACCGCAACCTCTGGAACCACACTTCTACTCCCTGTCGGCTTTTCCTCCTCTCCCTCGGAGTCAGATTCTAACAGGGGCATGATACCCCATTTAAATCAGGAGTCTCGAGCCAAACTTCCAAAAATTCAAAACGATTTATTGGGAGTTAATATGTCCGGCACTACCTGGGTGTAGCCAACTCTGAGATACATAATTTATTGTCACCTTTGATCCTGGTTTCCCCCATCCCCTGGGTGTATCGTAATTCATATTCTCCAATGGGACACATCCATAGCCAAGAGTCATCAATCATGCTCTCCAGTTAGGATTTTGCACGGCAGAAACTTCGGTCACCTAGTTACTTTGTTAGTTAGTTTGAAAACACTTATGGAATGCCCTTTCGGTTTGCAAGCTGTCGCACTGCTCCCTCCTCCCTTTCTGTTGGCAACTCTAAAAAGACCATAGAAATATTTTATGAGTTGACAAGCCACTTGATTACAGTCTTATACAGGTAGTCCTCGACTTATGACCACAATTGAACCCTCTTAAGCCTGGATTCCCCAACGGGTGTTAAGGAAAACAAACTAAACAGAATGTACAGCGAAGTCAGATAGGAAGACAGGTAAATGTGTGAGATAAGTTTTCTAGTTAACACGCAGTAAAAATACAGATACGCTTGTGCTATCAAAAATATTGTTTATTCCATTTAAGAATTATAGCATAGTCAAAATGTAACGGTCCATTAGTCATATATCATTTCAGTCAAGTCTTGTCGGGGATACTCTATTTGCAAAGTCCGTGTTGAATAGCCAATGTCAGTTCACTTACAATAAATCAGTCTAATCTTTATCTTCTCTCCGTTGAGAAAAATCAACACTCCCTTTTTCTCTCCCCGTTCCAGCAAGAACGCAGTCATCAATCCATCCAGTAATTAGGGATCTTCAAGCCAGAGAGAGCGAGCTGCAATTGCCTCGCTTCTTATATAGTGCTTTTACAACCACACCCTTAATTACATTCTTGCTGTTAAAGTTACACACACTTTAACTAACAAACCATGATACCATATTTATTATTTTTTACCCAAACCAGTTAGGGTAAACAATGTTATCCCTAACAAACCCAACATTTCTGTTATGAAGGGAGACCTTTGTTAAGTGAGGTTTTTTTCCCCCCTCGTTTTATGTCATTTCCTGCTCAACTTGTTAAGTGAATCAGTGCAGATAATAGTTTAGTTTAGTAACCCGGTTGTTAAGTAACAGTTATAAGTATGAACCAATGGGCAAGAGTCTGAATTTTGATCACATAGTCATGGGGATATTGCCAGGTTGTAACTGTGAAAAACGGTCGTAAGTCACTTTTTTCATGTGCCCCTGTAACTTCAAACAATCGTTAAGCAAACTGTTAAGGAGTTACAGTGGCACTGAAAAGATTGGCTTATGACTTTTTTTCACACTTATGACTGTTGCCGCATCCCCATGGTCACATGATCAAAATCCAGACACTGGGGCAACTGCCAGGGGTGGGATTCTACCTGGTAGAATCTATAGTTCTATAGAACCAGTTGTTACAATTCTGCTCAGTTCAAAGAACCAGCAAATTGCGCCACTGGCTGGCCCCTCCCCTCCCCGCCCACTCATTCCTTACCTGGCATGTGCGCCATCAAACTTGCCTGCATGTGGTAAGTTGTTATTTTTCCCCTGACCATCAGCTGTTCTGCTGTGCCAGGAGATTTAGATTAGCTAGAAAGCAGGAAATCATCCGATTTCTTGCTTTCTAGATAATCTAAAAGCAGAGCTGAACCTTCCTTAGGACTGAAGCTTCTATTTTTCAGTGCAGACTCAGGTAGCTGATGGCAGAAAGATAGATCTCTGAGTGAATCTGTGATTCTGTGAGCAACTCAATCTGCATGCCTGCTTTGCCTGATTTTAGGTAAAAGTTGCTCTTTTTTAATAATAAATTCAATATTTACATAAATATTTATAATATTTGCATACAAGCCATGCCCAGCCAGTGACATCACCACCAAGCCATGCCCACAAATTAGTCCACGCCCATACAACCAGTTGTTAAGAAATTTGAATCCCACCTCTGGCAACTGCGTCCTATTTATGACAGCTGCAGCATCCTGGGCAATCCGCTTTTGCGACCTTCTGACAAGCAAAATCAATGGGGAAGCCTGATTCACTTAACGGCCATCTTCCTGAGGTAACAACTGCAGTGATTCGCTTAGCAAGAAAGGCCGCAAAATTCACTGCCCAACTGTCTCATTTAGCAACAGAAACGTTGGCCTCTGTTGGGGTTATAATTGGTTCATAATTTAGTTTGTAATTTGTTTAAAACAATTAACAAATAAAGCCCCCATTTTATAAAGCTGTTTTTTTTTTTTTCAAAATTGTCCAAAAAAAAAAAAAAGTAGATGCAAATGATGCAATTCCATGGAAATCCCCTAATGCTAAATGGCTTGGCGGCCAATAATGCTAAAAGAAACTTTTAAGTTAGCATAAATACCAGAATGGTTATTTCTAAAGGAAGTCTGCCATAAATTTAGAAGGAGTTTCTTTGAGACCGTTTACTTTGTCAGGGAATATTTCTGAGTCAGCCCTCAACCACTTGCCCTCAAGGTCAAATTCTGCTTTGATTTTTTTTTTTTTTTCCAGGCCAGCTGGAAATAAAATCTAATTTTTCCTACTCCCAGTTCATTTAATGGTTAACTTCTGGCACAGGACCAAACTGAATACTATTAAGATATGGGAACTATTTTATCAATGGCTAGAGAAAAAAATATGAAAGCTAGAAATAGCCAATAGATTAGTGAAATATAGAAAATAGGTTAATAAAATTAAATATGTTAAGAAGAGGAGTGTTATAGTGATAAGAGATATTATGTATATTAATAAGAACAGAAAATTAATGCCAAAGTAATGAATATGGTTGTAATTTTAATTGTTATTGTACAAGGTATTTGTACCTGTTCTGACCAAGGCTTCTGAGACCGTAATTATGCACACGCTTATTTTAAAACAAGCCTTGTTTTATTGCAACACTGAGAATTATTTTCATTCCCTGCCAGTAATGAATCTCAAACAGTCCCTCAAGATAAGCACCCACCTTTCTTTCTTGTGAAGTGCTACCAATAACAGAAGTGTCCAATGAACTAGAAAAAAACAACAACCGAAAAGAGCTTCAAGAATGAATCTGAACCGAACAAACGACTTTGCTTCCTGCAAAGGTTTCATCATCTTGGCCTGACCTTTATACCTTAGGGGAGGGGCAATCACCTCCCAGCCTTATTCCCGAGTCACTCCTTTTGTTTCAGCTGCTCTCGCCTTCTAGCAGCTCTGAGCATGTGTACTGGGAATAGGCTCCCCTGGGTCCTCTGCCTCACTGCTGCCAGACTCTGGAGGCTCTGGAGGCACCCCCCCACTCCCAGATCGTCCTGGCCCCATCTCTGCATTGAATGCAGGACCTTCATCCGAGTCCTCCCTAAACTCCCAGACTGGTCCCCATTCTTCCCCACTGTCCAATTCCACTGCCATCTGCACAGGCTGTCTGCAAACCACAATATTACCCAGACGACACACCGTTAAATGGAAGATGAAATGTATAAATTTTAAATAAAATAAAAACCTTAAAAAAAACAGTGGAAGAAAATATTACACCGTGCATCTCTGTTGATAAAGCAAGGCAGATGCTACAATCTGCCTCTTCGTTTGGAGGCTTAGCCACAAGATTTCTGGACAGTATTCTCTTATCTTAACATAGCCGCAGTGAAAAATTATCTGTATTACTTCCTTTTTTCCTTTCAGGAGAATCATTAGTCTTAAAACCTGATTTATCCCAGAGCTGCTGTTCAAGAAAAACGTAAAAACATAACAAAAATTGGGAGCAATGGGGAGATCCAGATTCGCTTAACAACCGTGTAACTTAGTTAACAAGTGCCACGATTCACTTAATAACCGGGGCGAGAAAAGTCAAAAAGCAGGGTAAAAATTCACTTAACCACTGTCTCACTTAGCCACGGGCATTTGGGGCTCAACTGCAGTCGTAAACCAAGGTCTACCCGTACACCTTTGGTGGAATTGTTCACTCAGAGCATTTTGCCTCATAATCAGGAAGCTGTGAGTTCGATCCCTAGGTAGAGGCTAAGATTTGGAGTAGACTCTCCTGGTTGAGCAGGGGGCTGGGCTAGATGACCTCCCAGGTCCCTTCCAACTCTGTGATTCTTTGATTCTATAGTACTCTTTTGATTTTTCTGCAAAACAAATGAAGGAAACGATTTTGAGAGTTGCCCCCCCTTTTTATAAAGGCAGCTCAACCCTCGTTGAATGTTACGTGAAAAAGATTATGAGAAAATGTCAGTATCATGCCCCTGTCGGAATCTGATTTGGAGGGGGAGGCTGTGCAGCTGACAGGGAGTGGGAGTGTGGCTCTGTTGGCTGTGGAAGAAACTGGGGAAGGGCAAAGGCCGGTTGGAGCAGAGCAGGGGAGAGGTAAAGCAAGGGAGAGGGGGTTCAGAGGAAGATCCAGGCCCACCCCCTCTTTATCCTAGGGCACGCAGGGAGGAATGGAGAAGGGAGCAACGTGAGTTGCGTGGCTTACGGGGGAGGAAAGGGCCCTGATTCCCTTTATTAGCTGCAGTTGGGAACACAGTGTTTAAAAAGGGAAGCTGCACACAGCAAATTGTTGGGAGCAAATCGTGAATTTATCTGGTATCCTCGAGACTTATCTGTATTCCTGGCATCTTCCCAACTGTGTGTGTTTTGCTGGGCTTTCAAGTCTGCAATTCCTTCTCCTGCCCTGTCCAGTTAATTACTGCAGCGAGGGAGTTTTTTTTCTCCAGCTGAAGGTAACCTGGACATTGGGGGCAAAGTTGATGGTATTAAAGGGACATTTCGTGCTTATTTGACTGTGTTGCCTTTGTGCCACATCGTGGGTCATCACAGTCGATGGAAGATTCTCAGTCATCCTGGGAGAGTTGTCTGGACGTTGAGTCGTGGCAGCCGGACTTTCCTTTTCTTTTCTTTGGTTTTGAAATGTTTTAGTGTTTATCCCAGTATGGTAGCTTCTTTAGCTTCTGTTCAAAGGAGCAAGAAAAATCCATTTGCCTTGACTCAACATGCAGACAACATAAAGCTGTTTCTACTCATTCCTTTACAAACCTTTGGATGCAATGATTTGTCTTCCAGGGAATTTGTCACGTGGATCACTTTGGATTCATCTGCAGAGAACCTTCCAAAAACAGAGGCTTCCATTTTGTCTGTTACGTATTTCAATGTACAGATGAAGCTCTGGTAAGAACTTGAAAGTAGCAATAGCACTTAGACTCATATACTGCTTCACCGTGTTGTACAGCCCTCTCTAAGCGGTTTTACAGAGTTAGCCTCTTGCCCCCAACAATCTGGGTCCTCATTTTACCCACTTTGGAAGGATGGAAGGCTGAGTCAACCTTGAGCTGGTGAGAATCAAGCTGCCAAATTGCAGGCAGCCAGCAGTCAGCAGAAGTAGCCAGCAGTACTGCACTCTAACCACAGAGAGGGAGGGAGGGAAGGAACGAAGGAAGGAAAATAACAATAGCACTTAGACATATACAGCTTCACAGTGCTTTTGCAGCCCTCTTTAAGCGGTTTAGAGTCAATATATTGCCCCCAACAATCTGGGTCCTCATTTCACCCACCTCAGAAGGATGGAAGGCGAAGTAAATCTTGAGCCAATCAGGATTGAACTCCAGACTGTAGGCAGAGTTGGCCGGCAATACGGCATTCTAACCAACAATTTTGAGATTCCAACAATTTGGGGTTCTCATTTTACCTACCTCAGAAAGACAGAAGGCTGAGTCAACCTTGAGTCAACCTTGAGCCTGGTCAGAGTTGAACTGCCAAATTGCAGGCAGTCAGCAGTCAGCAGAAGTAGCCTGCAGTACTGCACTCTAACCACTGCGCCACCATGGCTCAAAAGGTAGCAAAAGGACTAGAACAGCAGAAAAATCCAGAACTTTGACCTCTCTCTCTCTCTCTCTCTCTCCCTCTCCCTCTCCCTCTCTCTTTCTGTGTCTGTTTCTCTCTCTCTCTGTGTGTGTGTGTGTGTTTGTGTGTGTGTGTGTGTGTGTCTGTCTCTCTCTATCTGTGTCTCTGTGTCTCTGTCTCTCTCTCGCTCATTTAGGTGGACGAGATCATGATGACCTTGAAACAGGCATTCAGTGTGGCAGCCAGCCAGCAAAATTTCAAAGCCCAACTGCAGTTCTGTGATGAATGTCCTATGCAAATTCTTCATAAGCTTTGTGAAAAGATAGAAGGTAAGAATTATCCAGGTTGGTTGATGTGTTTCTTGGATACCTTTGGGAGTTAGCCAATAGATATATCATTGGGACTTTTTTTTTAAAAAAAGCTTGTTTAATTTTTAGTGTGCGTATAATTGCACCCTGGTGTAATGGAAGGGACACAGTGACTAAGATGTTGAGCTTGTCGATCAGAAGGGTTGGCAGTTCGGCAGTTTGAATCCCTAGCGCCGCATAGTGGAGTGAGCTCCCATTACTTGTCCCAGCTTCTGCCAACCTAGCAGTTCAAAAGCATGTAAAAAATGCAGGTAGAAAAATAGGAACCATTTTGGTGGGAAGGTAACAGTGTTCCATGCACCTTCGGCATTTAGTTATGCCGGCCACATGACCACGGAGACGTCTTCGGACAGCGCTGGCTCTTCGGCTTTGTAATGGAGATGAGTACCACCTCTCTAGAGCCAGGAACAACTAGCACATATGTGCAAGGGGAACCTTTACCTTTATAGATATGGTTGTCTTGGGGGCAAAACAAATGTAAACCTTAATTTGCTGCTATCATCCCGAGACCAAAGAGCAAATTGTTTCATCCATCCACAGCACAGCTTTGTGAATTTCCAGTGACCAAATATTATCTCAAAGGTATGATGCTGACTTAATGTTGATGTGTTTATTTGCTAGGGATGCATCCTTCTAAAACTAAGTTGGAATTGCAAAAACATTTAACAGCATTGAATAACCAGGAGCAAGCTTCGATTTTTGAGGAAGTTCAGGTAATTGCCGTTATATTATTTTTTTCAGTGGAGAAAAAATACAATTTCTAATTTGTGGTCCTACTTTGTGCCTCTTAGCAGGAGTTGCATTAAAATCAATGGAAATTGCTCGCCCAGAATTAAACAGTGTTGGTTGATTATAGAATTCAGCTAGATTAAGCCATATGTCATCTCAGATTTGTCCATATGTTTTTTTAAAAAAATTCAAAATAGTTTTTAGGTTTTTGGAAGGGAAAAAAAAGTGTCCAAAACATTTTTGCTTTATGTTCGATTGATGCAAATTTTGGCAGCATTGATGGTCCATAGAGGACGTAGGAAAAAATTTAGAAATAACAGGCATGTGATTACAGTTATATGTTTTTGGAGACAATCAAATAAATGTTGCCTTTAGAAGTAAGGATTATTTGCTTGGCCATTCACTTCTCTGAATGACAGGATAAAAAGCTACTTAACACAAATTGTTTCATAACTCCAGCTGTATATTGTGAAATTGATGTGGCCAAGTCATTTTTTGGTATAGGTAGTCCTTGAATTACAACCACAATTGAGCCCGAAATGTATGTTGCGAAGTGAAACATTTGTTAAAGGAGGTTTGCTCCATTTTACAATCTACTGTCAAGGCTCCGACAAACCACCCCCATTCAAATCATAAGTCTCTATTTGTATCAGAGTAAAAAAATAGATTTATTAGGAGTGATCATGTTGGCGTTACCTGGGTGCAGACGACTCCGAGATACATCATTCATTTCACCCTTGACCCTGGTCTCCCCCCGCATCCCCTGGATGTATATTCTCCAATGGGACACATCCATAGCCAAGAGTCATCAATCATGCTCTCCAGTAATAATCTTGCGCGCCAAAAGCTTCAGCTACCTAGCAATTATCTGAAGCATTTCAGGAATGCACTACTTTCCCCACTCCCTTTGGCAACTAAAAAGACCAAAGAAGTATTTTTTTGGTTGACACGTATCCTGCCCCAGTTGTTAAGTGAATCCCTGCAGTTTTTAAGTTAGTCACACGGTTGTTAAGTGAATTTGGCTTCCCCTCATTGACTTTGCTCATCAGAACGTCACAAAAAGGAATCATTGTGACCCCAGGACTGTCACAAATAGGAGTCAGCTGCCAAGCGCTGGAGTTTGGATCACATGACCATGGGGATGCTTACAAAAGTTGTAAGTGTGGAACATAGACACAAGCCCCATTTTTGGTGCTTTTTCAGCGTAACTTTGAATGGTCACTCAATGATGCAAGTTGTTGTTAAGTCGGGGACTACCTGTGTTTGCAGCAATTTGGTGATGCAACGAGTTAAAGGGATTAAGCTCTCCTCTTTATTTTTTTTTCCCCTTTGGTAGAAAATAAGGCCAAGAAATGAACAGAAGGAGAATGAGCTCATCATCTCTATCCTGAGAAACATGTATGAAGAAAAACAGAAGGATCATGTTCACCTTGGGGAAGTTAAACAGGTCTGTAGTTTTCTTTTTCCGATATTTGTTTTATAACAGTATTAATAATCTCTATCACATTTGTCCATTTTAAGTAATCCTCATTATGTTATTCAATCATACCCGGATTCCCCGAAAATACGACCTACCCTGAAAGTAAGTCCTAGCTTGATTTTTACACGTGCGACCAATATAAGCCCTACCCCCCCCAAAAAAAATAAGCCCTAATTAAGATCCTACCCACTCCAGGGTGCACGGGTAAAAATTTAAGCTGGAGGGGTGGTAGAGCTGCCCTATGACTTTGGACAGTTGTAACCAGGCCTCACAGATCAGGCCTGCTGCTGATCAGAGGTGCTATTCAGGTGGTTCGGATGCCTTCTGGTGTAACTGTAGTGAAAATTTTAACTGGTTTGGAGAACCGGCAAATACCACCTCTGGCTGGTCCTGCCCCTCCCCTCCCCTTCCAGGAGTCCCCCCACGGCCCGTTTTTGCTCCCAGGAGGCTACAGGGAGGCTTACTAGGCCCCAAAATGGGCACGGGGTTGTAGGTGTGATGCAGTACCCCTGCAGCCCGTTTTTTGCTCCCAGGGGGTTTCAGGAGGCCAAGCCCCGCCTATCACACCCCTGACCATGTCCACCATGGCCCCACCCACCCAGCCGGTCATTAGAGCAGAGAACCAGTTGTTAAATTATTTGAATCCCACCATTGCTGCTGCTGATTGTATAACAGTGCCAAACGGTTGCCAAGAAAATGGGAACAAATTATTATTAAACTATCTGGAGGATATTCTGAAGTCTTTTATCTTTTTGAGCAGGTCCCTGTTTCTCTGTTACAAAAATGTCCCCCCTGGGAGCGAACACTTTTATCATCATTATTATTATTATTTTGGGAAGGGGTTCCTGTTGATTTATCTTTATTTTCTTTTTTCAAACGCATTTGTTACCTTAACGTCCTAGACGGGCCAGTCCACTGGAGAAGCCATGGGAAACGAAATGCCAAACAGCACAAGTCGGTTCAAGCTTGACGTGCTGAAGAACAAAGCCAAGAGGTCGCTTACCGAATCCTTGGAAAATATTTTATCTCGGGTAAGTCTCTTTTGAATCTCTTGACATGCAACCGTTGCTGTGTTGGGGGGCGTTGACCTCCGCGTCATGAAAAATTTATTTTTGCACTAAAATAAACAACTGTGTTTAAAACGAAACCACTAAGCGCGCACCTGGATATGTGTTTAAAAGGAAGGAAATGTTGTGGCCCACCAGCGGCTGGCAGAGCTGACAGCAGAATCGGACAGTGAGGAGGTTGGGGAGGAACCTGGGCCAGTCCTGAAGGCTGAGGAAGGCTTGGACGAGGGCTCTGCATCAGAGGCAGAGATGGGGCCAGGACAGTCTGATAGTCATCAGCTGCCTTTGGAGTCAGACAGCAGTGAGGCGGGGGAGCAGCTGGAGCCAGTTCCCAGCCTGCGCATGCGCAGAGCTGCCAAAAGAAAAGAAGAATTATGAACTCAGGGTTGACATGGGAGAAAGGCCACAGGTGAACTGTTGGGCTCCGAGTTCGCTACTGATCCCATCAGCTCCAAACACACTTTGCAGCAAATGGACATTGGGGGCAAAGTTGAAGAATATCACCTTAGCTCTGCAGACACCAGATCTGTATTGCTGCTTGTGTGCTAGCCAATGGTGTTGAAGGTAGCCAATGGTGTTGAAGCAGAGCTGTGAGCTGCAGGATGGATTCTGAAGCAACTGCGGGCTGCAGGATGGATTTTGAAACAACTATGGGCTGAAGGATAGATCCTGAAAGAACTGCGCGGATGGAAATGGCTTTTTTCATGTATTGATGTGGTGCATATTGTTAGAGAGGGTTGGGGCACATATAAGTGGTAATTAAGCATTGAGTTAAGACATGGTGAAGGCCCCTCCCATAGGGATTAAAAGAGAAGCAAAAGGGGAGGGGGATTTTGCAGGAAACAATTCCTTCGTTGCAGCAGTGTGAAGATCTGTCTGTGCATCTCAGAGACTCTGTGCTGAGTCCTTCCTTGTCAGCACTGCGTTTGGAAATATTTACTTGGCAGCTCTCCAAGATAGATAAGGTCTGTGCTCCTAATGACACCCTTGAAAGACTGTTGGCCAGGCCTTTGGCTGAATGTGAATGCAAAAAATTCACCTTCGTTTAATAAGAGGGGTTTTTCTGGGACAAAAAGTCGGCTTAGTGCTTCTTGGGGAAGCCTAGGTCAGAACAGGAAATAATGAATGACATACTACGAGTTTCCATCGGCGAATACACAGCCCAGTCTTTTAAGGGGAATTCAGACAAATATTTGGTCATTTTCAATATTTCAGGCTTATAAATCAAATGTCAAGAGAGGGGAAAAATGCAAGTACAGTACAGCTTGTCCTCAACTTACAACAGTGTTCATTTAGTGACCGTTCAAAGTTAACTGCACCCAAAAAAGTGACTTAGGACCATTTTTCACACTTATGACCATTGCAGTATCCCATGGACAGGCGATCCAAATTCAGACACTTGGGAACTATTTATGACAGTTGCAGTGTCCCAGGGTCACATGATTATCTTTTGGTGACGTTCTGATGAGCAAAGTCAATGGGGAGAAGCCAAATTCACTTAACAACCGTGTTGCTAACTTAAAAACTGCAGCAATTCACTTAACAACCTGTGGCAAGAAAGGTTGTAAAACTGGGCAAAACTCAACAACTGTAGCAAGAAACTGTGGCAACAACTCTCTTTCTTAGCAGTGGAAATGTTGGGATCCATTGGGGTCATAAGACGAAGATTACCTGTAATAATAAGCCTATATTCTTAGCTCATCCCCAAAATTAAATTTAATAATGATCATGTCAACTCATAAAACATTTTGTATACACGTTTTATAGTTGACAACAGAAAGAAGGGGGGGGGGAGTTTCAAAGAGCAGGTGGCAGTGTGGAATTGAAAGTACATTCCATTCATATTTTCTTCAAAGACTGATTAAATGACTGGAGCTTCTGCCACAAAAAAATCTAATTGGAGAGCATAATTGATGACTCTTGGCTATGGACATGTTTTGTTGGATGATATACCCAGAGGGGTGGAGGGGAAGCAGTGAATTACGTATCTCAGAGTTGGCTACTCCCAGGCTAATGCGACATGTTAACTTCTAATAAACCCTTTCAAGTTTTGGGAGTGTGGCTCGAGGCTCATGATTTAATTGGAGTAACTGCTGGAATCCTGACAGATCACAGCACTACTACCATGTTTCCTTCAAAATAAGACTGGGTCTTATATTAATTTTTGCTCCAAAATATGCATTAGGGCTTATTTTCTAGTTAGGTCTTATTTTTGGAAAAATATGGATCTAAATGTGCCCATCTGGCTGACAATCTTAACTGGAGTTTATTTTCGGGGTAGGGCTTATATTACGAGCACTCTGAAAAAAAATCATACTAGGGCTTATTTTCCAGCTGGGTCTCATTTTGAGGGAAACAGGGTGGACTCTTTAAATTTAACAGTTTATTCATTAGAAGAAATGTCTTTTATATGAATTTTCATACTTCTTTATATATGGACTGTATATCTTTATATTTTTAAATACATATAATAATATGAGGATTTTCTTGGCAGGGAAATAAAAGTAAGAGCCTACAGGACGCTGCTGGAAGTATTGATTTGGATAGCTCCTTATCCAGCACGCTCAGTACTATAAGTAAAGTAAGTGAATTGTACAGTATATAACCAACACAGGCAATGGAATAGTGCACCTTACAGTTTCCTTTCTTTCATCAAATGTTTAGCTTCCGATAAATTCCTGCAGTAATTATTATATTTTGGTTTTCAAGATCGAACTCATTTGATCCTAAATGTGCTACTAAGCCTGACATCTACTTACCATATGTACATCTGAATAATTACCCAATAGTGATAGGCAAAAAAATACAGGTACTGTGTTTCCCCGAAAATAAGACTGAGTCTTATAGTAATTTTTGCTCCATTAGGTCTTATTTTCTGGTTAGGTCTTATTTTGGGGGAAATACAGTTTCAGTGTGTCCTTCTGGCTGACAATCTTAACTGGGGCTTATTTTGGGGGTAGGGCTTATATTATGAGCATCCTGAAAAATCATGCTGGGGCTTATTTTCCAGTTGGGACTTATTTTCAGGGAAACAGGGTGGTTAGTCCTCGACTTACAACAGTTCATTTAGTGACCGTTCAAAGTTACGAGGGCACTGAAAAAAGTGACTTAGGGCTGTTTTTCACAGTGATGACTTTTCTAGCATCCCCACAGCCACATGATCAAAATTCAGAGGCTTGGCAACTGGTTCGTATTTATGACCGTTGCTGTGTGATCCCCTTTGGTGACCTTCTGACAAGCAAAGTCAGAAGCCAGATTCATTTAATAACCAGATTACTCACTTATCAACCTCAATGATTCACTTAACAACTGAGGCAAGTAAGGATATAAAATGGGGCAAAGCTCACCTAACAAATGTCTCACACCAGAAATGTTGGACTCGATTGTGGTCATAAATTGAGGACTATCTGTGTCCACTTATAACAGAATTATTATGAAAGATCCCAGGAAACCCAATGGAGGATGTGAACTTGATTCTTCCCTCTTTTACAATCTATGGAAACTTTTCTGCTTGATTATCAATAACTGAGTTGGAAGGGACCTTGGAGGTCTTCTAGTCCAACCCCCTTGCTCAACCAGGAGACCTATACCCGCGATGGCAAACCTATGGCATGCGTGCCACAGAGCCATTTGTGCCAGCACACAAGCCGCAGGCAAACTTACTTCACTGCACATGTGCGTGTCTCACAGCTGATTTTTCGGCTGGTTTGAGGTCTTTTTTGGTCTCCCAGAGGCTTGAAAAAAGCCTCTGCAGGCTTTGCAGGTCAAATAATAGGCCCATTTCATCACTTCCTGTAATACCAGAAGTGATGAAATGGGCCTATTATTCATCCTGCAAAGCCTGCAGAGGCTTTTTTTCAAGCCTCTGGGAGGCCGAAAAAGGCCTCAAACTGGGCAAAAATCAGCTGTGAGGTGCAGTGCAAGTAAGGGGGCGGCATGGGAGAGATCGCGTGCACATGCGCAGGGGGCATGGCGGGGCGCGTGCATTGCCTCCTGGGTACTGGCATGCGAGCGTGTGAGCACAAGCGCACGCACAATTTTTGACACAGGAACCCAAAAAGGTTAGCCATCAGTGCCCTATACCATTTCAGACAAATGGCTGTCTAGTCAGTTCTTAAAAACCCCCAGGGACGGAGATGCCCAAGTTGTTTTTTTTTCAAAAGGGACCTGGGCTTCGTTTTTCCTTGAAGATGTTTCGCTTCTCATCCAAGAAGCTTCTGGATGACTGAAAATCTCCATAGGCCTCCAGTGATGAAGCGCCCACAATATCTGGAGGCATGCCATTCATCATCTCCTTTTAATGACCCAATAATCCCTTGCAGGATGGAGTCTTGGCAACTGAATGGAGCTGAGTGTTTACTGGCTGGATGCCCTTGTTGTTGCCAATGCCGAGGTTTTTTTCCAGCAGATATATTCTCAGCGTGCCCAGAGAGTATCTGGCTCTACCTAGGATTGAACTCACAGCCTCCCGATTGTGAGGCAAGAGCACCACCTCTAGGCCACCGCACCACTTCCGGAGGCAAGCCATTCTGCTGATTCTAACCATCTACGTTAGATAGCGGGTCATTAAAAGCAACCAGATGTTCTAGCATTGAAAAACCCAACAATTTTAAATGTCCTGTTAGCACATGTTGATCCATCCAATTGTAGTCGACCGGAATATAAGATGGAGAGGAGAATGAAAATAGTAGGAAAAGAGTGGAGGGGAACAAAAGGGAAGAAGAGAAAGAGTAGGATAAAATAGATGATTGGTTGGAAGAACTGAGGGAGATACTAGAGTGTGATGGCACAAACACAACACAGTCAAATAAACAAGAATAGTCCCTTTATTATCTCCAACTTTGCCCCCAATGTCCAGATTACCTTCGGCTGGAGAAAAACTCCCAGGAACAGCCTTTAAGCAGAGAAAATTCAGTCCGAAAACAAAGTACATACAAACTGTAACTAAAAATCCAAACAAACCACGCTGCAGTAATTAACTTGACAGGGCAGGAAAAGGAATTGCAGACTTGAAAGCCCAGCAAAACACACACAGTTGGGAAGATGCCAGGAATACAGATAAATCTCGAGGATACCAGATAAATTCACGATTTGCTCCCAACAGTTTGCTGTGTGCAGCTTTCCTTTTTAAACATTATTCCCAGCTGCAGCTAATAAAGGGAATCAGGGCCCTTTCCTCCCCCGTAAGCCACGCAACTCACGTTGCTCCCTTCTCCGTTCCTCCCTGCGTGCCCTAGGATAAAGAGGAGATTGGCCTGGGTCTTCCTCTAAACCCCTTCTCCCTTGTTCTACCTCTTCCCTGCTCTGCCCAGCTGGACTTTGCCCCTCCCCAGTTTCTTCCACAGCCAATGGAGGCACGCTCCCACTCCCTGTCAACTGCTCGGCCTCCCCCTCTGAATCTGATTCCAACAGGGGGCATGACACAGAGATGGCTAAATTGGCTGCTTTAATCAAAGAAAAGAATACACCCATTCTGGATTTTATGCTTGAGATGGAAATAAATGAAATGTTGGGTTTGGCTGATTAGATCATTCACAGTTTTGTTTCATTTGATAGGAAACATCTATCAGCGACCAGGAAAACCCTTTCCCCCCGGACAGCCTTCTAAAACCAAACGGGTCGGTGGACAATCTTGATCTTCTCTCGACTGCATCTGAAGGATCATCTGAAGAACTTCCTACCCAATCAGCCTACCAGGGCTTCAGAAGACGCGCTAACACCCTGACTCACGTTCCGTTGGAAGCCCAGGAGTCGTTCGAATCGGTTGAAACTTCTCCGCCTGTTTCCCAAAGAAAACTTCTGAGGTATCATTCCATGACCACAGAGGCTCCAGACCAGCAAAAGTAAGATTCAAGCAGGGGAAGGGGAGGAAATGTTTACAGGTATGTCCACCTGAGGCAACGGAGAAGGACCTTGAGATTCATTCTTGGTCATAACCGCAGCATGGACTTCTCAGTCTGAAACATTGAAATGATGTAACAGCATCTGCTTTCCATGGGAATGTGCTTTATGAATGCAACTTATAAGTCATCTTGATTAATGATTCAAATCGTTGCCCTTATTAACTATTAATTGGGTGAGGGAGCAGGCATCCATCTTTTGTGATTTTGGACCTAGGATGATGATTAAGATGATTTATTACTCATGTCTGTATACAACACTTTACTCAACTAATGGTCAGCATTAGACCGGCCCTAGATAAGAGTTAGGGGATGTGGTGGCTCAGTGGCTAAGACGCTGCGCGTGTCGATCAGAAAGGTCAGCAGTTTGGCTCTTCGAATCCCTAGCACCGTGTAACGCAGTGAGCTCCCATCACTAAGCTTCTGCCAACCTAGCAGTTCGAAAGCATGTAAAAATGCAAGTAGAAAAATATAAGGACCACCTTTTGTGGGAAGGTAACAGCTTTCCGTGCACCTTCAGCATTTAGTCATGCCAGCCAAATGACCATGGAGAGATCTCGGACAGTGCTGGCTCTTTGGCTTTGTAACAGAGGTGACCGCCCCCTAGAGCTGGAAACGACACGTATGTGTGAGAACCTTTAGTTTAATGAAAAGAAGGACTAGGGGTGACATCAGTGGTGGTATTCGACCGGTTCTGCCCAGTTCTGGAGAGCCGGTAGCGGCATTGAGCAGTAGAGACCGAACCGGTTCTCTTCGCTGCTCTGTGGTTGGCTCACCCAACCGCCCGGGCTCCCATACTCACTTTTATGGCCAGAATTCAAAGCGCAGCTGCTTTGCGTGGCGCACAATAGCGCCACGCGGCAGCTGCTGCAGCGATCACCATCGTGCAGGCTTGCAGGAGGCAAGTTAGAATGCCTCTGCGCCTGTACAAAGTGCATGTTTGGCGCGCGTGTGCATGCAAAGTGTGTGCATGCGCACAAAGCGCGGCCACCAAGCTACGCCCACCGAACCGGTGGCAACTTTATTTGAATACCTCCACTGGGTGACATGATAGCAGTCTTCCAATATCTCAGGGGTTGCCACAAAGACGAGGGAGTCAAGCTATTCTCCAAAGCACCTGAGGGCAGGACAAGAAGCAATGGATGGAAACTAATCAAGGAGAGAAGCAACTTAGAACTAAGGAGGAATTTCCTGAGAATGAGAACAATTAATCAGTGGAACTACTTGCCTCCAGAAGTTGTAAATGCTCCAACACTGGAAATTTGACGTTCTCTTTTTAAGAAGAGATTGGACAACCATTTGTCTGAAGTGGTGTAGCGTCTTCTGCCTGAGCAGGGAGGGTTGGACTAGAAGACCTCCAAGGTCCCTTCCAACTCTGGTCTTCCATTATTATCATTTACATTCATTATTGCTACCCCACTCCAATAGATTCCGAGTGGCTTACAACATCTTGAATGCATTTAAAACAGAGCATAGCAAAGGATAGAAACCTGGAGTGTAAACTGATTCTAGTCTCTTAGATTTATTCAACTGGACCGATATGCGTGAGTTATTTTGTCTATTCTCTAAAGGGAGTGCATGAACCCAAAATGTATTTGGAGGAATAGTTCTTTTTAGGAAAGGGAAGCTGATAAATTTCTAGTCCAAAATCTACTTACATGATGCCAAAAAATCATGCAGTGAAGAAGCTTCCAGGTCCAAAGGCTGGAAGTACCGGTAGCTCTTGACTTACGACCACAATGGAGCCATTATTAAATTAGTAACATGGTTTGTGGAGTGAATCTGGCTTCTCCATTGACTTTGCTGATCAGAAGGTCCCAAAAACGTGATCTCTTGAGCCCGGGACACTGCAACCGTCATAAGTACCTGCCAGTTGCCAAGCGTCTGAATTTTGATCACGTGGCTATGGGGAAGCTACAAGGGTCATAAGTGCAAAAAATGGCCCTAGGTCACTTTTTTTTCCAGTGCCTTGGTAACTTCAAACAGTCACTAAATGAACAGTTGTAAGTCAAAGACTGCTTGTATCTTCTCTGGGATGGTGTGGATTGCTCCTCCCTGCGTGTCCTAGGGTGAAGAGAGAGTGGGCCTGGGTCTTCCTCTGAACTCCCTCTCCCGGACTGTGCCCTTCCCCCATTTCTTCCACAACCAATGGAGCCACACTCCCACTCCCTGTCAGCTGTTTGGCTTCCCCCTCCAAATCAGATTCCGACATGGGCATGACAGTTACTGTCTGTGTAAGCTGTGGCTTTTGGGGAAATGCTGCAAAATTCGATGCAAGCCCAATGCGAATTTTATTTCTCACCTAAACATAATGAGAGAGAGAGAGAGAGAGAGAGAGACAGACAGACAGACAGACAGGCAGGCAGGCAGGCAGACAGACAGACAGACAGACAGACAGACAGACAGACAGACATATGCCTGAGATGAATTGTAACCGGTAAAAAGGACCTGAAAAGAGGAAAGGGAAAATTCTGAAATAACAACGTCCTCTTTTTGAACCTCATCTGTCCTTTTCTCCTTCTAATGCCAGATTTTATCACAGTGGTATTTACAGCTAGACAGGGCTTGTTCAGGAAAGTGGAGCTGTTTGTTGGTTAGCCCTTGAGGTTAGAGAAGCAGCTTCTTATTTAGGACATAAAGTTGTTGTGTTTTTGGTTTGGTTCGTTTCAAATTCTTGAGAGCTCTCTTGTTAGGGGTGCCAGGTAGTTTCCTTCAAACCCATTCTAGGAATGGTGAGAGAATATATGTATGGTGACCTTCAGCATCATTTGAACTTCATCCACGTTCTGTTCATAGGTGAAAACCTCTGGTTAAACAAACATGCCACAACTCAATAGACATGGCTTTGGGACAACTGTCCCTATTTTTGTCAGAAAAAGGATGAGAATAGACTAGACTAGAACAGAATAGATGCAGAATAGAGAGAGTAGAGTAGAGTAGAGTAGAACAGAACAGAACAAGAATAGAATGCAGAATAGAATAGAATAGAATAGAATAGAATAGAATAGAATAGAATAG